CAACACATTAACCACTGATTTTCCACTTGAATGACTATTTATTCAGCTCTATTACTCTGTACTCTAAATATTTACATAAACTATTTATTGCTTTCATTCACTGAGTTCTCCATTCCAGCTCCTGAGAAATACAGTACTTCTTATATTGTTTATTTCTCACGAAACTCCGAGTGTCTAAAATCGGAAAATCTTTTGTAAGATTAAAATAATCTTACAGTAAACTTTGTGATTGTTCAGCCAAACACAGCACCCTATTACCGCACAACGTCTCCTCTTCCTGCCTGACCAAGAGTTTTTCTGATGATGAGACATACGAGTAATCCTCTTTCCAGGACATCAAAAGCTTTTAAGCTGGATTTTACCTATCTAAAATCGTCCTTCATCCCTTGTGTTCGTTATTATAGTTATCCAGTTTTCAACCCAAAATTTTGCTTTTCTTCCTCTGCTGCACTATTTCTATATATTGAATTTGATATAACTTTGCTTGTCCTTCCAGTTTAGCAACACAGTATGTTAAATACGTTTAACATTGAGGTATGTTAAATACGTTTAACATACCCATAATACTTTCCTAGTTCACTAAACTTTCACAGGACACTAGCAACACACTCAGTTTATACTCTGGAGCGATGTAAAATAATTTGGTTCATACGAGGAAACCCGTTCAATTTAAGAAAATTACCTGTATAATTACCTGTGTGGTTGCTTGAGAATTTGTAAATGTTATTTAATACGTGTTAAAGGATATTGGCTCTGAGAGCAATAGAAACATGTGTCGAAGGCGGTCAATTGGTTATGCTTTAATTTTATTTATTTGCTATTAAGTTTGACTCTTTTCGCAAAAATAATTAAAGCAAATATGATTTCACAAACTTCTTTATTGATAAACGCTGCAAAAATGTCTTTCCCACAATTAGCTTTTAAAATTAAATCAAATTGATTGAATAATTATTCGTAATTCAAATAGAACCATCGAACTGAATAAGTGAAATACATAATACAGTATTGAATAGAATAAAACAGTCCAGCAGCAGTAAAATAAACTAGTTGAATACAATCGAATTCAACACGATGTGAAAAAGAGAATATTTATACCTATGGAGTCGAAAACGCATGAGGATATATCAAATTAAATGGAATGTACAGATGCGTCAAAAACATTCATTATAAATTGCGTCACGATCTGTACTACCACGCGGTACTGTTGTTTACACCCGCCCAGAGAACAGGATCAGAAATCTTCTCATGTTTATAGGCTTAGAGATCTCTGTACCTCAGCATCTCTGAACAATCAGCTGAAATGTTTATCTCTTAAATTCGAGTCTCTACTCATTTTATTACCAGGTTGTCTCACGACAACCTTTATGAGAGGGGGTGAGTGAGAGGGAAGGTGGTGAGAGAGAGGGAAGGTGGTGAGGGAGAGGGGAAGTAGTGAGGGAGAGGGGAAGTAGTGAGGGAGAGGGAAGGTGGTGAGAGAGAGGGAAGGTGGTGAGGGAGAGGGGAAGTAGTGAGGGAGAGGGGAAGTAGTGAGGGAGAGGGAAGGTGGTGAAGGAGAGGTTTTCAGTGCGTTCTAGTTAGATAGGGATGAACACTGAAGCTTCCAATTACTCTTTGGGTGAATAGAGGCAAACCGTGAGGCTTCCAATTACTTCTATGTGAATATGAGCGAACAAAAGTTTCCCAACTAATTCTGAGTGAATAAAGACGACAATGAGGTACAAAATTATTAGTTGGAGAATATCTGTAAACAGTGAAGGAACGGCGCTCAGCAATCTCGAAGTGTGTCAGCAACTTCAATTATAAACTCTGCAATCTGAAAGAAGCTGATCAAAACTCTAAATATCTTATAAACCAACTTGACCCATTAGTTGGTCGAGATCTGAACGTAACCAAAGAAGAGTGTTGAGCATGTTTATTCATACACATGTGCCAAAATGTCGAGAATCTCTAAAAACTTATAACCTCTTATAATGGCAAAGCAAGCATTAAATTTCCATAAAAATCTGCATAGCCTTAGTGGCATTACAGCTATCACAGACTCATAGAATAACTGATGTGACTAACGAGCGAACAGTTTACAACAAAACATTCAGTCTTTCTGTGTTTAAAGGACGTTTACCTATGAAATCCCCGGCTTGGCGCCTTCTCTTGATGATTACTTATCTATGAAATCTGAATCTCAGTGAAGGGCAAGGTGGCCGCTCAGAAGTCTGACAAACAGGATTCGTTCTTTTTTTAAATGCACGAAATGTGTATTTCCAATGAAATTCTTGCTTAGATCTCAGCACAATAAAATCAGCAGACATTTTCATGATTTAATTTAATTTTCATATACAAGAGTTTTTATATTCATTTAAAGGCAATGACAAGTATAGCGTTTCGGGCAGGTTCTTAATCCTAATATTCCCGGAATACGACCCGCCAAATCGTTTAACAGCCAGGTACCCATTCCCTGTTTGATGAACAGAGGCTACAGTTAAGGATTAGCGCCTAGTCAATCCAAACGATTAGTGGTTCGTTATTCAATGATATCGATTTTCAATATGTCATGATACCAAGAACAATATGTCATGATACCAAGAACAATATGTCATGATACCAAGTACATTATGTCATAATACCAAGTACAATATGTCATGATACCAAGTACAACCTGACAATGAAGACGTTGTCCAAGGACCTGATTATGTACAGGGTATCTACAGAAATGGCTAAGGAGCAGTTCTAAGGGCCTTGGCAATCTTCTCTAAAGTCTGTTGGAATTCAACAGATCATTTTTTTATATCTAGTTGAATACAAAGTGCTGACAATAATACAAGGAAACACAAAATTTAGCGTAAGCTTCATTCTAGATAAATCTAAGCATTCACATTATTTCAATTCATTGATACTCTGAGCCAAATTTATTACAGCGTTTGTGTTTGCTTAAGTAGACAGCTGGTGACAGCAAACAGGCAAAGATACGACACTCATTAATGCATAATTATGAACAAAGTGCTTTTTAATTTGATTAACAATCGCAATGAAACTTGCTGATAAAGTTTACTTCGATTGACTGCGGTAATTGGCGAACACTCCCGTGCTTTTACTCCAGCAAATGGATGGATTATTTTATTCATGCGCTTACCTTGAGAGTTTTGTTAAATTTTGCCTATAAACCCACACAATTCAAGTATCAGATTCATGATTAATAGTTAGGTATTTGTTTTAAAGTTTTTGACACAACGTCTTGGCATAATAGAGGGCGAAAATTATATACATTTTTTTCGAGTTCTCCCATTTTTGTTTGAGGAATATTGTTATTCAGATTATATTCTCACGAGAACACTTGTGAGCATATGAGGGAGGGGAAGGGGAAGGGCCAAGGAGAGGGAAGGTGGTGAAGGAGAGGGAAAATAATGAAAATAATCATTGTACATGAGGTGACCAGCGGTGATCAGGGACTGAAGATGAATGCAGTGATGAAGTGAGAATGTAGTGAAGTGTTTTACAGTGACTAGGATGGTTGTGTGTGTTGGGAAGATGGTTACACTGACGGGAACTGCGTTAAGGTAAAACTGTTGAAGTTGATGAGTGTTGTGGGTAGTTAAGATGATAACGGTGATGATGGTTGTGTGTACTTAGCATAGTTACAGTATAGAAGATAGTGTGCATTTATATAACGGCGTTCTCTATCACCTGAACAACGTGGGTACCTTCTCCCATGATGTCTCTATCACTATCACCATCCATCACCCTCCATCACTATGTTCTCCCCAAAGCAATAATTCCCCATCCCCCATTCCTTCCTCGTCACCATTATCACAGACCCAATCCCAATGTCCTTCCCATCACCACTCTCTCTCCATTCCAGCCCTCATCCTCTCAACTCCACCACCATCCCCGTCACATTATGTTCTCTCTACAATCCCCCTCCCCATCCTAAAACTCATTCTATCCCCCATAACCATCACACCCCATACTCTTGCCCCCACCATCCATCAATCTGTCATGCAAGAGTGTCACGCTGTTACTGTGGACGGTAATGTCACACTAGTGTCACTCTAGGCCCTGTGGTTAGTAATGTAATTCAGGAACGAGATTGTTCTGTTGAGAGAGAATGTTATTTGGTCATGACGCCCTGTTCTGGGAAATGGTAACACGACTTTTGTTGTGTATTCTCAGCCAAGTATCAAAGAGCAATATTCCTGCAAACGCAAAACGTAACGGTCCCTATGATTCCCTTGTTACAACTTGTAATAAATTTGTTACATCTTCTTATAACGTTTTTAATGCGTATTTGAACGTTGTTACAATTGCTATATTGGTTGTTACATTTGTCTGGTGTTAAAACTAGTTCGAATGTTGTTTCAACGTCTTAGTTTCTTCCTGTGATATAACCATCTTATAACCCATTTATCTGCTACCATTACCATAGTGCGAGTCATACCTTTCAGATGCAAACAAGTTACCTTGCAACCAGAAACCCTTTAACATTCATGTGTCTGAAATACACACACACATAAAATCCTCCTCCTGTTCTAGTCAGTCAAAACTGATATTCGCAACGAATGACCACCCAAGACCTTTCAGGAAATCATGCTCACCTGGTCGTCACGAGGTTGCTGGTTCAATTTCCTCGTGTTGCTTCATTATTTGTAAAGTGTTACAAACACATCATTGGGATTTTTCAGTTTGTAAGGACAAGAGCAGAGTTGAGAGGTGGATGGAATATTGGAGCAACGTTCGCAAGGGGGCAAACCGGTGGGGAGTTGATTTTTATGTTCGGGTTGCATTCATTTTGATGCTTTCAATGTTAGTACCTTTCACAATGGTGCTTCCACTATGGTACCATCCACACTTGTACCATCCACACTGGTACCATCCACACTGGTACCATCTACAGTGGTACCATCTACACAAGGACATTCCACCACTGGTCACTCTCCCACCACTGGTCACACACTCTCTCACCACTGGCGGGAGAGTGCATCCCTAACCGCCGCATCTTGCCTACACAGACGGTGACAAGAACAGGCTCGTCAGAGAGCCGTGTAGTGTGGAACGCCCAGCCTGAGGACAACGAGAAGGGCCTCTCATGCACAGCCACCAACCCTCGCAATCCTCACTACTACCTCACTAACTACACCAGACTCGTCGTCTACCGTAAGTACAATTATCATTAACTTCTAACTACAATAAGTTCACAATAATCACTAACTTGTAACTACAATACGTTCTCCAGGGGGCCAGATTCACGAAACAGTTACGCAAGTACTTACGAACGTGTACATCTTTCCTCAATCTTTGACGGCTTTGGTTACATTTATTAAACAGTTTACAAGCAAGAAAACTTGCCAATCAACTGTTGTTATTGTTATAAACAGCCTCCTGATATTTCGGAGCTCATTAACTGTTTAATAATTGTAAACAAAGCCGCTAAAGATTGAGAAAAGATGAACAGGTTCATATTTGCTTGCGTATCTGCTTCGTGAATCTGGCTAAGGGTCGTACGAACCGTAATATCAGCCCATACTAGCCCCATACAGAAAAATAGATTTGAAAAAACTCAGAGATATGCCAAAAAACAAATAAAAACTATTGTTTTTCTAAAAGCAGTACAAATAGTATGTAGATCACTGCGAAATAAAGCACAAGCACCCCTCTTTGCCTGTTATTTGTGTGTGGCTCCTACACCCTACAACAAATGTAAACAAAATAATAATAATTTATCAAGAAAATATTACATTTTAGCATTGCTAATAAGAGTGTAATTAAGAAAAAAAATATATGTATTTTAGTTGATATGCCTTGAGTTCAAGAGTATTTATAAATATGTGTTTGCGTCACTGATTGCGTCAGGGCTCTCCACCAAGCCCCGTAGGGCCTTATCTCAGCGAAACTGTACCAACATAACACATCATTATATCGTCCTCTGCTTTCACGAATTTATTCAGGGAAACCCTATTTAAAGAGGTACTAACGTGGCGCAGTGACGCCCGAGCAGGCGATGTGTTCTCTCCTCATGTGATCTGTGGCCAATGAGGGTATAAATACCTTTTCATACCACGGCTAATCAGACCCCAGAGACCTCGAGGAGTCAGAGTCGCAACCTAACATCTGCCAAATTACTCTCCAGTGCACCGCATGTTTAATCAACTGCGATGTCCTGCGCCCTCAACCGGGATATATATAAAAATCTCATGAGTTGTATTTTTAAAAGTCTATACTGTGAAGTGAGGAGAACAGTGCAGTATAGAGATGACCAGCCACTGTCCACAAACCGTGTTTGAGGAGAGTTGAATGTCACTGATGTAAGTGACTTAAGCTGTGAGATAACTGAAGCCAGAAAGGAGTCGTGGACTCATGTCTCACACCTGAAATTCACAGAGGAAACTAAAGGAAGTAACTCATGTGAGAGGTTTCCTAAGGGTTCCTGTCTAAATTGATATTAAAATGTGAAATTAGAAATGACAAGATCTAGCGAACTTAGACAAGCTTTTAACCCAGTTAGTTAAAATGTTTTGGATTTGGCTCATTCTATTAGAATTTCGGTATACTGAAGTGTGAAAACACTCGACAAATGCAAAATCGTATTCCAGTTTGTTTGATGTCTTGGACCAACAAAAGGAGAAATGCATTGTTCTCCGTAACTCGAGATACTACACTGTCCCCTAAAGCGGTTCAGGTATAAACCTAAATGTCAAACTTAATCCAGTAATGAATGCAACAGTTTCGGGTTAGAATGTATAAGCTCGGGAAACTCTAATGATCTTTTAAGATATTCTGCAAGTTACTTAAGGAATGGAGATTGTAGAGAGTGCCTTCTCGACCCTAACACTCACCCAACCACATGGGCTGTTCGGTAGAGCGACGGTCTCGCTTTATGCAGGTTGGCATTCAATCCCCGACCGTCCAAGTGGTTGGGGCACCATTCCTTTCCCCCGTCCCATCCCAAATCCTTATCCTGACCCCTTCCCAGTGCTATATAGTCGTAATAGCTTGGTGCTTTCCTTTGATAATTCCTTCCTTCCACCCTATCACTCTGAATCACAAGGTGGCTGTGACTGTTACCCCAGCATCAGGAAGATACTTCACAGGATATTACACTCTGACGGGAGCTAAATGGGATGAGACTGTAGCTTGGTATTGATTACCTTACGAGATGAGCCTCGCCATCAACGTGTTGGCCGAGGATGGCTGGCAGAGGTTGTGTGCAACTATACACCTTTGCATTTAACACCTTTTTTGTGTATTTATTTATTTATATATACAAGAGTTCTTACATTCTTGTACAGCCACTACCATGCATAGAGTTTAGGGCAAGTGCTTAATCCTAATTTTCGCATACACATACCCCCGAGGATGTAGCTCGTAGCAGCTGTCTAACTCCCAGGTACCTATTTACTGCTACGTAAACAGATGCATCAGGGTGAAAGAAACTCTACCCATTTGTTTCCGCCTCCATCGGGGATCGAAACCGGACCTTCAGGATTAGGAACCTCTAGCGCTGTCCACTCAGCCGTCAGGCCCCTAAGTACACGCGCGCGCGCACACACACACACACACACACACACACACAAGAAGCAGGCCAAAACACTGTCTAGCTCCTACTTACTACTAGGTATTAGAGGCATCAGGGTGAAAGAAACTGCCCATTTGTTTCCGCCATCGCCGGGCATCGATCCCCGGTCCCTAGGACTACGAATCCCGAGCGCTGGCCATTCAGCCACTAGACCCCACGTATAAGTGTGTGTGTGTGTGTGTGTGTGTGTGTGTGTGTGTGTGTGTGTGTGTGTGTGTGGGGGGGGGCGGAAACCTTCGGGTACCAAAGCATTAGAAGTTTGAGAAAGATTGTTGCGTTATATCGTTCACGAGTAAGGATATTTATATAAAACTAAAAAAGAATACGGATTAAAATTATTACCAACTAATTTCCCTCACGTGCATACAGAACATATACCTGCAATATTGCATCTGTACTTAAATAGCAATAAACTATTGGGAATTAACAGGTAAATCTGGCATTACCTGAGTAATATAAAATATTAAGAGTAAATGGCAGTTAAACCTATCAAAACAGCTGGCATGACTATGCCATAAGATAATGGCAGGCAAATCAGAAATAAAAAGTATTATATAATTTACTATAAGATAATGTCACATAACTATGTCATCGTTACACTATTATGCATAATTTAGACAATATCGAAGCAACTATAAACAGGTTGGAAAGGCCTTATATACGGTCCTCTATAACAAATAACATATATACCAGTCTAAATACCTATATCTAACGCCCCCAGTTCATTTATTATAATCTCGTGACTGAGGGCATGTATCCGTTCTGTCCCCAGACCCGCCGTTGGTGTCCCTGTCCATAGGTCGCGGTCTGGACCCGGCGTCCATCAGGGAGGGGGTGGACGTCTACTTCACCTGCAGCGTCCAAGCCAACCCACCAGCCAATAAGATCATATTCTTCCACGAGGTGAGCTCTCTGCATGTCTTCATAGAGTTTGCTCAGTTGACCAATCCACACACTAGAAAATGAAGGGACGACGATGTTTCGGTCCATCCTGGACCATTCTCAATCGACTTGAGAATGGTCCAGGATGGACCGAAACGTCGTCGTCCCTTCATTTTCTAGTGTATTTTCTGGTCAACATACTTCAGCCACGTTATTGTGACTCATCGCCTGCAAGGTTTGCTAAATGTCCTCCAGGAGGTAACCTCAGCTGCATGTCTTCCATGGGTATTGGTAAGCTTCTTTACATAGGTATTTACCACAGAACAAAGCTTGACATAGACAATGATAACTACTTATTATTATTCAACTATTGCTTGACCTGGGATAATTATTGTCTTATCACAAGTCCTGACAGGAAAGAACATATTGGCTCGTCAAGTGTGTGTATATTAAAGACGCATAAGCGGTTCTCAATGCATACGAATGTAAACAGTTGTCATAACCACGAATGTTATTTATATCGTGCAGGGGACGGAGGTAACACAAGTGCACCAGGCGGAGTTCAGAGTGCTGGTGACGGCCAACTCCCTGGTGCTGCAGAAGGTACAGAGGGTGGGCAGCGGCCGCTACTCCTGTAGAGCCACCAACAACAGAGGCTCCAAAACCAGCAACTTCGTCCGTCTCGATGTTTTGTGTGAGTAAAGTCTGCCATGATGTACTCACCTAGTTGTACTCAACTAGTTGTGTTGGTGGGGGTTGAGCTTTGGCTCTTTGGTTCCGCCTCTCAACAGTCAAAAACTCGTGTACAGATACCTGAGCCTACTGGACTCTATTATATCTACATTTGAAACTGTGTATTTGGTCAGCCTCCACCACATGACTGTTTAATGTATTCAATTTCTTAACTACTCTGACCCTGAAAAAAATCTTTCTAATGTCTCTGTGGCTCATTTGGGTACTCAGTTTCCACTTGCTTGTGTTCCATTCGTGATGAAGAGTTTCTCTCTATCCATCCTGTCACCTCCCTGAGAATTTTGTAGGTGGTTATCATGTCTCCCCCTTACTCTTCTGTTTTCCAGGGACGTGAGGTTCATCTCCCTTAATCTTTCCTAGTAGCTCATACCTCTCAGTTCCGGGAGGAGTCTGGTGGCATACCTCTGAATCTTCTCTAACTTAGTCTTGTGCTTAACTAGGTATGGAATTCAGGCTTGAGCTGCATATTCCAGAAATGGTCTGACATAGGTAGTTTGCAAGGTCCTGAACGATTCCTTAGAAAAGTTTCTATAGTCAGTTCTTATATTGGCCAATCTAGCATATATATATATATCCAATATATATATATATATATATATATATATATATATATATATATATATATATATATATATATATATATATATATATATATATATATATATGACAATGTCAGACCACGAAGGATTGAAACAGGAATGCCCTTAAGTACTTTCGAATTTAATAATACAACTTCAGAAGGTATGATCTCCTTCTGGAGATGTATTAATAAATGCGAAAGTACTTAAGAAAATTCCTGTTTAAATTTTTCGTGGTCTGACACTGTCACATTTATTATCACATGTTAATTTTCGTGATTTAAAGACACACACACACACACACACACATATATATATATATATATATATATATATATATATATATATATATATATATATATATATATATATATATATATATATCGGACGTGGTACAGACGAGCCGCGGTGCATGACAGAGAACCAGGTGGTGACTGTCACGCCTGGAGAGAACGCGACGGTTGACTGTGGGGTGGACGCCTTCCCTCCACCACACCGCTTCTCTTGGTCTCTCAACTCCACCAAGGGCCTCCAGGTCGTGCCCAAGGAGGAGGTGAGTATATAAACTTTCATTTTTTGTGTTTACTCTGCACTCTCTTACGCTACAATGGGGTAGTACAGAGTGTACAACACGCTTATCAGTTTATTTTTTTTAACGAGTGTACCAATGTTGATTTGGTGTATATGTTCGGTCTCATGGATAGAGTACAGAGGTTATATTTTGCTTGTGTGTTCTATGATATTTTGAGCGTTATCCAAAGGATTTCAACTAGTTTTTCCCCATTATTAGTATTTTTTATTTTTTTAATAGCTTTGTTGGTTTCCTTATTATCAGCCACCTATTCTGTTCGAAATAAAATAATATTATTATTTGATCAAAATTTTATATAAAATTGACCTTTAAATCCTTTGGAATATCCTTTCATGCAGTAGAATTAATTTTTGAGTGTATTTCATAGTGTTGCATTTCAAGTAATTAAGTGTATTTTTGGTTAATATGGTAAATTTGGTAAATTTTATGTTGGATAACAGTAAAGATTATGAATATATTTTGTATGAGTTTCTGCATATGATTTATCATTCATTATTGGCTATGACAACTGATGGTCTTAAGGTCTTATCATAATAGCTATATCTGGCAAAAGTTTCATTCGTTTATGATAAAAGAAATTAATTTGGATTTCGTTTCATTGTAACGTAGTTTTTTTCTGAACATTATTCAATGCTCTATTGTCGAGAACATACGCACCTGGCAACGCTCGGGTTTCACACTCTTTCTTTGTCTTTTATGTTTTTATTTCCTATACGTTGTTTTCATTCTTTAATGTTTCGTACCATCTCACTTCCAATTTATCTTCTTCTCTCTAACTCCTCAGACCTGACCTACTTCGCCCACCTTGTAACCCTGACCTGATCGGACCAAATGTTGATCTGACCTCTTGTTGACCTGAACTTATGTTGAACTTACCTACTTGAGGTTATCTTGAGGTTATCTTGAGATGATTTCGGGGCTTTAGTGTCCCCGCGGCCCGGTCCTCGACCAGGCCTCCACCCCCAGGAAGCAGCCCGTGACAGCTGACTAACACCCAGGTACCTATTTACTGCTAGGTAACAGGGGCATTCAGGGTGAAAGAAACTTTGCCCATTTGTTTCTGCCTCGTGCGGGAATCGAACCCGCGCCACAGAATTACGAGTCCTGCGCGCTATCCACCAGGCTATGAGGCCCCTGTACTATTGTCCTATATTTATATTGACTTGATCTATTGTTATCCGGACATCATGTTAACCTGGACTGACATCACTTCCAATCGTTCTCAACATTTCCTTACCTGCTGCTGAACTGATCTAAGTTCTAGTTTTGTATCTTTCTGAAGGTTAATAATATCTAGTTATACGAGAAGTATGGATAAAAAGAGTTTAGTTCAGGATAGTTATCACATCCAAGAGTTCTATTTTGTGAGGAATTTCGTAAACCTGAAATTGAATTTTTACTTAACTTTCAGACACATCAAATGATTAGAGGAGTCTCTTGTACCTCGACTCGACCATACAGAATACAGAAAAAACTCTTCTGTAGCACACAACCAGTGGCTTGTTCCGTCAACAAACACATATGACACTCTAGTTCATAACTAAAGCTCCCCAACATTCAATGTGCATATGAAACAAACAGTAACAATTCACAGTTGCCATTTTTTGGTCAATTAAGTTTAATTCACGTATGGAATAATAACGAACGTTTCTTATAGTAAATGCTAATCAATATTATTACATTTTGAAGGTTTATATAGAATTTGGTCTGGGAAGTGTTAGGTAAAGTGAGTTCTCTACGTTGTTTATGGATTGCTGGCAATGCCGTCTGTAAATAAGCGGAATTGGTTTCGAGATATAGCTTATAACATACCTTGAGGTTACCTTAAGGTGCTTCCGGGGCTTAGCGTCACCGCGGCCCGGTCGTCGACCAGGCCTCCTGGTTGCCGGACTGATCAACCAGGCTGTTGGACGCGGCTGCTCGCAGCCTGACGTATGAGTCACAGCCTGGTTGATCAGGTATCCTTTGGAGGTGCTTATCCAGTTCTCTCTTGAACACTGTGAGGGGTCGGCCAATTATGCCCCTTACATGGTCAAGTGAATCATAAGTAAGAAACTGACCAATGTAGATCTTATTTAATTACTAATTGAATTGTACATTACGAACCAGAAAGTACTTTGTTTTGATAACGGACGAGGTTAATAAAATTCGGCCTAGACATTAAAAATTAAAACGAATATTTCTTGCGCCAGGAAATCTGAATTATAGGACAACAGGTTCTAACAGACCTGCAGACAAGGCATGAAAAGTTAGAACTAACTTTCCTGTACTCCTAATTAGGCACAATGTACATTCTAGTATAGCTTAGGTTTACTTTGCTCAGTTAGGCTAGTTCACATTTTTTAATACCTTTATACAATAAGTATATAATTTATAAACTGGTTATACGATGTATTCTCCCTAACACTGCAGTTAACTGTTCCTTAAGAAATTTTCAGGCAGTTTAATCTAGTTTCCGAACTGAAGCCATATTCCCAGAGGCATTCAGAATGTTCTGGTTTACAAGTATGTAGCCCAATGAGAGGATTATGCCTTGCTCTCTTCCTCTGAGTACTGTGAACATTTGAATCCAAAGAACATATGTGACTTTCCCCATGAAAGAAAGGTTCCACGTCTATTATATGGCCCGGTAATTTTGTCCATAAATATACAACCATATTGTAAACCAATAGTTACTCAGGTCTTTCCTCAGTCTAACCTTCAGATTCCAGCGCTATGAAAGATTATTAGATATACATTTTAACTAGTTGCCTCTTGCTACATATAATAGTGTGCCTAACATAACTTCTAGATGCATTATAAAACTAAATCCAGTTTTGAAGGCGATGAGTTACAATAACGTGGCTAAAGTATGTTGACCAGACCACACACTAGACGGTGAAGGGACGACAACGTTTCGGTCCGTCCTGGACCATTCTCAAGTCGATTGTCAAGACAATCGACAATCAAGACAATCGACTTGAGAATGGTCCAGGACGGAGCAAAACGTAGTCGTTCCTTCACCTTCTAATGTGTGGTCTGGTCAATAAATCCCATTTTCATAGAAAACCAGCTGCTACATAGCCTCTGCATATTTGACTAGCGTAGAAGTGATCTCTGATTATGAAGTACATTATAACTGCAAAAATCTGTTTCGCTGTGGAACCTACAGCCAAAAAAAAAGTTGACCCGTGTTACATGCATAAAAAAATCAATTCTGGCAAAGTCAGGGTAATCCCAGGGAATTAACCACTCCAACCACTCAGAATCCAATGCTGTGAGAATTGAAGATTTATTGGATTCACATTCCGAATCACACTCGGGAAAATTCAATCATGGTGCATATTTTATGGAGTTCACGGTAAAAATGTTAGTTAATTATTAAGTAAATATTATATTATAATATTTTATTAGAATATAAAATGTATGTGGATAAAATATATGTGGATGGGTCGGTGCTCAATGTGGGAAGAGAGTGTTTTGTTCAAGTGAGAGTTGTGGGACCGTAGCTAAAGCGGAACAGTTCAACAATGGTTGTTGAACACTAACATGGGCACCAGTGAACAAGTGGTGGGCCACAGCCATCATGGGGCCTGATGGCTGAGTGCGCAGCACTCGGGATTCGTAAACCTAGGGACCAGGGATCTATTCCCGGCGATGGCGGAAACAAATGGGCAAAGTTTCTTTCGCCCTGATGCATCTGTTCACCTAGCAGTAAAATAGGTACCTGTTATACAACTGTGACGGGCTGCTTCCTGGGTGTGTGTGTGTTTGTGTGGAAAAAAACAGTCGATTGACAGTTGAGAGGCGGGCCGAAAGAGCCAGAGCTCAACCCCCGCAAGAACAACTAGGTGAATATAAGCGGGAGGCCATAGGTAAGATTACCCATTCCAGGGTGTTTAATGTATCCCCTTAAGTCTTGAGGAAGAAGGGCGTTACCTCACCTTGTTACATATACTCGTGCATACCCTGAAATCCTCTGTATTCTTCTGTTCCAAAACCTCAACTAAATCGCTTTATTGTGTTCTCCAATATATATACAGACGATCACTTATGTTTACAAAGTGTAAACACCAAAATCTGTGTTTTGGACATTCTATTTGTCCCCCAATCGGTAACAATAGTAAAGTTCAGCCTCAGCTTTCGTAGTATGTAAACATCACAAAATGTTTAAATCATTTGTCTCTTCTCTTTAAGGCGCGGATCTCGCGTGGCAGCAGCGGATTTTTCAAGTACCTGTTTAATTAATGTGTTTTCTTTTTGTAACTTTTTTTTACGTTTGTTTAATCATGCTCTGGGGTGCGGCAGCGTATTTCGCTGCATCTCTCATAGTCCTCTCAACCCTGATACAATCAAGTCAAATGATGTTAATGTTTCCGCAAATGTCTACCATTATCGGGGCTCAGTTTATCCAGATTCTGTTCATTGATTAGCTTGGTGGTCCTCTCAATAACGTCTGTAGTTACCGTGAATAGGACCATACCTACTCGGAAACCTTGACGTTAGGAGGACTTTCTTCACCACTGTTACCAGACCATTTACCATAAATACCACTCTGAGTACACATCTCGTTTCTTATCTCTCGAATCCATATCCTGATCCCTTCCAAGTGCTATGTAGTAGTAATAGCTTGGCGCCTTTCTCCTGATAATTCCCACCCTCCCTCTCGAAAACATGTGTTCCGGACTTACTTCCTATATTCCTCATTTATATCAGCAAATTTAGCAAAAGAAGGATTTAGCAAATCTCTCATTACTCAAATAATTGTGATAAATATGAACCTATTCATCGAGTTTGCCTCCACTAATCTATTTTTTACAAATTACATTTCATAACTTGTCTCACATTGACGAAACCTGTTTCTAATATCTGTGTGATTTACTTGGATACTTTGGGCCCTTCTTTTCTTGCCAGAGTTCCACACCAATCAAATAATCAGTCCTCGTCTACCATATGTCTTTCCCAGATAACTTGGCATGCAGTAATCATGTTCTACTAGCCAAATTTTAGTAATTTTCGTTAATTCATATCGCATGTATGTAAGACTAACAGACTTTAATCTGGGCGCCTCCTGTCTCTCTGCAGTATTGTACATTGGCTTTATATTGGGTGTATTGTCAAAGACTGTTCAGTGAACAACGGAGACCCAATTCGTCCTGTCCTTTCAAGCATTCATTTTCTTGATTTTGTTGTGGAAAATTATAAGATTTATCAGGAACATATTTTGTTTATCTTTTATGAAGCGTTTATCTCCAGTTTTTCAACTCTGTTTTTTCTAGTATTTTTCAGAATATGCATGTCAAAAATTCTTGTCTGTAAGTAAAGGCCTCCTGTCTCTCTCTCTCTCTTTTCCAATACATTGGCACCACATATGCACCATTCCATGTACGAGGTCCATTGATCCTTGAACCTTGCACTAATACTTTGCATTTGTTTCAGTTAAACATTAGTAGCCATTTATTGTAACATTCTTTTAGTATGATTAATTCATCCAAAATTTCTTTTCTGTCTTCCTCTTAATTCTTCTTCTTAAAAGTTTTTGTATCATTAGAAAACAGTGTGCGAAGATCATATGAATAAAAAATAAAAAAAAAGAGTTATTCTTTAGTAACTGCGTCTTTGTTTACAAATCGTCCCTGAGTTCTATACTCTCTCTGGGACAAACATTTTACCGTCTGTTGCAAAGGAACCGTTTTTATATCACAGAAGCATTTTTTCTGTCTCTCCTGCTTGTTCCTCTTGCTACATGAATCAGTCTCATGAGCAAGAAATAAAATGTCTGCCATCTCTCTGGTGTCTTGTTTGTTCCCCGTCGTTCGATCATTGAGTTTTGTCGAGTTTGCGTGGAAATTATGAGCCGACCATGAACAGCTGCCGGTGTTTTTATAGAGGATTTTTGTACACATGTTTCACGTCTGCCTAATTTTCTTGCTATGTTTTCTCTGACCTTGTCCTGGTAATCAAGTAAAGAGCACTGACCTCTGGTTTAGCTGACACCAACATTCGTTATTGTAAGTCTATCAACTTTATTGTTGCTCTCCAGTGTATGCGTACTCACCAAGTTGTGCTTGCGGGGGTTGAGCTTCGGCTCTTTGGTCCAGCCTCTCAACTGTCGAGGTGTGTGTGTGTGTGTGTGTGTGTGTGTGTGTGTGTGTGTGTGTGTGTGTGTGTGTGTGTGTGTGTGTGTGTGTGTGTGTGTGTGTGTGTGTGTGTACTCACCTAATTGTACTCACCTAATTGTGCTTGCGGGGGTTGAGCTCTGGCTCTTTGGTCCCGCCTCTCAACCGTCAATCAACTGGTGTACAGATTCCTGAGCCTACTGGGCTCTATCATATCTACATTTGAAACTGTGTATAGAGTCAGCCTCCACCGAGTCAGCCTCCACCACATCGCTTCCTAGTGCATTCCATTTACAAACTACTCTGACACTGAAAAAGTTCTTTCTAATGTCTCTGTATCTCATTTGGGTACTCAGCTTCCACCTGTGTCCCCTTGTTCGCGTCCCTCCAGTGTTGAATAGTGTGTGTGTGTGTGTGTGTGTGTGTGTGTGTGTATGTGTGTGTGTGTGTAAAGGAGTGACGTTATCTGCTGCATGTTAAGTGATCAATCGTCCTAGTCCGCAGTATCTGTGTAAAAATTAAGATTTACATGATTTATTTCTTGTATGGCAGTAGAAACGCACAAGCTTGAAGCCTTTTGGGAAAGAAAAGATATTTACATTTATTATCATCTAAACTTTTCCAACATTTGTTATCCTTGTCCTGGAATCGAAACAATGTTTCTGGTATAATTATCCTTGCTGCTTTCCGCAAGCTTTCTGGGAAAATGTTCTCTATAATCCTAATTCCTCTTTTAGTTTTAGTGAGCTAATACTACAGTTATTGTACTGATTATAATACAAATGTTTCTTTTGCTAACTCTTAACATATTCCATCTGAAAGTAATTTTCATCAGGTAATACTCCAACTATTCACCTTAACTGGTTGTTTTTCTCCGAAATTCCTCGACACCTTGTAGTTCCCGAGAGAATTATAACGTGGGATGCTCTCCTACAGTACGAGTCAACAGGCAGTAGCTCGAGGCTGACCTACATAACACCGTTAACACTCAAGAAGATGATCATTCTCTGTTGGGCCGTCAACGAGCTTGGCACTCTGCGCCAACCCTGCACCACCACACTCATAGCTGCAGGTCAGTACAGGTTGTGTCAATACTGTCCCGCCACACTCATAGCTGCAGGTCAGTACAGGTTGTGTCAATACTGTCCCGCCACACTCATAGCTGCAGGTCAGTACAGGTTGTGTCAATACTGTCCCGCCACACTCATAGCTGCAGGTCAGTACAGGCTGTGTCAATACTGTCCCGCCTCACTCACAACTGCAGGTCAGTACAGGTCAACCCTGCACTACCACACTCATAGCTGCAGGTCAGTACAGGCTGCGTCAATACTGTCCCGCCACACTCATAGCTGCAGGTCAGTACAGGCAGCGTCAATACTGTCCCGCCTCACTCATAGCTGCAGGTCAGTACAGGCTGCGTCAGCCCTGCACCACCACATTCATAGCTGCAGGTCAGTACACGCTGCGTCAGCCCTGCACCACCACATTCATAGCTGCAGGTCAGAATAGGTTCATCACCCTTATGGAAACTGAATAGTCGCTCTACCTCTGCTTGCACCATCAACCTGAGTCAATCCTTCAATCCTTTTCGTCAGCCCTGCACCATCAACCTGCGTTACACAAACACCATAACACTAATTGGTGCAGGAGAATAAATGCTGGAGCACTTGATGGCCATTCAATCGAGAGTGCAGAAATAACTCGGGTAAATTAATGAATGTTCTCTTTATATGATTAAATCTGGCGAGTCTCGACTGAATGGTCCCACTGGTCTCTGTTCCCCCTGTTATACAGTTGTTCTCGCTGATCACTAGTCCCTTGCAATACAGCTGTTCCCACTAACCTGAAATCCCTTGTTATACAGCTGTTCCCACTGACCAGAGGTCCCATGTTATACAGCTGTTCCCACTGACCAGAGGTCCCTTGCAATACAGCTGTTCCCACTAACCTGAAATCCCTTGTTATACAGCTGTTCCCACTGACCAGAGGTCCCTTGCAATACAGCTGTTCCCACTAACCTGAAATCCCTTGTTATTCAGCTGTTCCCACTGACCAGAGGTCCCTTGCAATACAGCTGTTCCCACTAACCTGTAATCCCTTGTTGTACAGCTGTTCCCACTGACCAGAGGCCCCTTGCAATACAGCTGCTCCCACTAACCTGTAATCACTTGTTATACAGCTGTTCCCACTGACCAGAGGCCCCTTGCAATACAGCTGCTCCCACTAACCTGTAATCACTTGTTATACAGCTGTTCCCACTGACCTCTGGTCCCATGTTGTATCTTCCTGTTAAAAGTTTTCATCTCAATATGTTAATAATTATATAACATAGAATGTGAAGCGGTAGCAGTAGTAGCCCTCAGCTGCTATATAGTAGTAGCAGAGATAACCACCAATACCTTATCTCCGAAATATTCGAAACGATTAGTGCTTAGGATGTGGGTTGTGTCGGGTACATAGAGCTTTGTAATTATTTTATTCACTCTCGTGTTCTTGGGGTTAGCTTCATAATACGTCCAGAGTTTGAAAGTGCAGACTACTTATCACATGCCTCTATGACTAACCATCCTATGTGATGGGGATTTTTAGCATCACTGTTAGTTTTTTTGACACACTGTCCTCCCCTTCATACAGTCCAGGACAGCTGCACAAATTCAGATGTACCTAAATGTGTTAATACAAAAATAAAATAAAGGGGGTTGTGTCTCCCCAGGTGTGCCTGAGCGGGTGGAGAGCTGTGAGGTGGTGGAGCAACGAGTGTCGTCTCTCAAGGTATCCTGTGTGCCCGGGTTCGACGGAGGCCTCGAGCAACATTTTATTGCTTTGGTGAGTGCAACATGCTAAGTGCTCCGGCCTTTATGGTCTCATAACTTCATGATCTTTATTTATGTTATTTGCTGTTCATATGGGTTTGAGACTAATCTTTAATATCGTGGTGAATAGACAATTTTCTTAACAAATAAAGCATACAATATAAAATATATATCAGAATATATTATTTACAACATGAGTAACTCCTCCATGAAAACGGCCGACATTAATAATATCTTTCAGTATGACATGTTTGATTTCTTTCATATCCCATGGGAAACTTATGACAAAGCAATAGCAATTTTAACAAAACAAATTGTGTGAGAATGCTAAAAGAATAACTAGTAAATAACATTGGATCGAACTTCTATCACCGTAGTACATGTTTTCACTGTACTCCTAGTAACATCATGGCACTGAATTTGCCTCATGCCTTGTGATATTTACAACGTTGAGGACGAAGAGGACAATCTCCTGTGAGTGTTTACCAAAATGTACTAAGCTAAGGGAGGATCTGTGAGTATGTGTTTGAAATAATTACCCAAATGAAAAACACAAAGGTAATCCAGCCAGACAAATAATGGTTGGTGATCAGAAAGAGGAGAAAACAAGCTTGAAGGAAAGTTTCTGACTTTCGAATTGAGATCTTAGACTCTTATTGTGCTTCCCGATGTGTGCAGTGAGGAGGCAGCGAGGATTGACAGACACAGAACAGCTGTAAGAATTGACAAACATAATAGAAACTTCTTAATATTTGTGAAATCAAAGTCAGGTCATATTGATTGGAGGATTTGAATCATAGTAAGAAAGTCAGGTATTTCAGAGATATTCTATTAAGGAAATGGATCGTACCGTAGACTACAAAATTGGAAAATATTGTTAGTAACAATGACTAGCAAATTTTTTCGTCAGTGAAAATACAGGAAAAAATGGGGGAGAGGCATTGCTAGGCCAATTTAAGACTGTCATTATATATATTAGTTATAAAGGACAGATCCCGATAATTGGGGATATATCCTGAATGAGGAGTTGGTTATATAATTTGGTCTCGGTAATTGTTGTCAAGTGTGTGGAGAAATGTTGGATTTGTAATCTATTATCACTCAGACAACCGGAACAAATTCAATGCAAATTTGGAACATGTTGTAGAGATGAGGTACATCTATCTCGGGCAGGAATGGAAGTATTTGCGGTTGGAAGCATGCAGGCCGTTAGGTTTATGATTTATTAAGGTTTAGCTACACAAGGCTGATGAACAGGGTGTGCAAATAACTTGGCTTTATTTGAGGAGGAACATTTTAAGAAAACGTACGAAAAATTAAAAAAATTGCCAAGAAGAATTTTCATAAAAATATTCTTATGTGTTACTATTCTGTCTCCTTTTTTCCCTTCCGTTGTGGTCAGGTCAAGTTCCATCAGCCATTCTTCGCCGCTCTGGTCCCTCAGGTCAAAAATGAACCGTGTTTCATTTGGATCTTTTCTACATATTATGTTTTTTGGGAGTGTCAGAAAGAGGGTGTTTGGAGTGGTATTGTTGGAATGGAGTCGCAGGAATAGTATAATAAGTACTGAGTGGATGATGGGTGTGGTGGGAATTTTGTAATAGGAGTAATGTGGTCGAATTAGAGGAATCGGAATGGTAACGACTGACCTGTGCACTACAAACTTTACTAGAGAAAGGCGGTTAAGATAAAGATTGTGTTCAGAATGGCTTTATAAGGGTGATGTGGTGACCTGTGTGGAAAGAATGGTGTGCTAGGAAACGTCATGTAGGAAATATTGATGTCAGCTGGTGATATCAATGGTGGGAATTCTGTAGATGTAATGGATGGCTGGAATGCGTGAGAAATATGTGGCTGTGTTTGATGCACAGCAGGAGACGAGGTACAAAATGATAAATAAAATATCAATAATGAACTAAGTAGTATTAAAGATGGTTTGAATGTTTAAGAGAAGAACAAATATTTAGACGCACGAAGCTTATTCTGATCAGTGTAAATCAGATTAATATACTGATTAACATATAATATTGTCTGATTGATATAATCATGCTAAGAGTGTTAAAGCCAAGTGCTTTGAGGCTAAATGTAAAGTGGCTGAGTGCATGGAGGCTAAGTGAATGGTGACTGATAGCGTGAAGGCTAAGTGTTTGGTGGCTAAGTGCGTGGATACTAAGTGTATGGTGCCTAAGTGCGTGCAGACGAAGTATAATATAGAGATAAAAGAAGCACCACCTAATGGAAGAAGTCATATAACCTTCTAGACAAAACTTGGTAAAATGGAAGATTAGGTGATAATAGAACAACTTTAATCACGTGGCATTTCCGTAGATGGGTTCTGAAAAGTAATGAGCGCAATATTAATTTCGGGCGAGGTTCACGCGGGATATAAAATTTTAAAATGCAAATTGCATGCCCAATTGACATAAACTTCAAATTTTCGTAATAGCTAGCAAACGAATAATTTAATTTACACGTAAGTGGCGTAATGGTAATCTTTAAAATTAGGCATATTTAGACCATGTCAATCTAGATTAAGAGCCTACAAGAAATGAGAAGACAATCTTTGCTAAACTCAGACTGCCTCGTTGTGTTCTGATCTCAGCTAATGTCGCAGAATGGGTGTCGGACGAAATTCAGAAGAGGGAAGGGTGTCGGACGAAGTCCAGAAGAGAGAAGGGTCTCGGACAAAGTCCAGGAGAGGGAAGGGTGTCGGACAAAGTCCAGGAGAGGGAAGGGTGTCGGACAAAGTCCAGGAGAGGGAAGGGTGTCGGACAAAGTCCAGGAGAGGGAAGGCTGTCAGACAAAGTCCAGGAGAGGGAAGGCTGTCAGACAAAGTCCAGGAGAGGGAAGGCTGTCAGACAAAGTCCAGGAGAGGGAAGGGTCTCGGACAGAGTCCAGGAGAGGGAAGGGTCTCGAACAAAGTCCAGGAGAGGGAAGGCTGTCAGACAAAGTCCAGGAGAGGGAAGGCTGTCAGACAAAGTCCAGGAGAGGGAAGGGTCTCGGACAAAGTCCAGGAGAGGGAAGGGTCTCGGACAAAGTCCAGGAGAGGGAAGGGTCTCGGACAAAGTCCAGGAGAGGGAAGGGTCTCGGACAAAGTCCAGGAGAGGGAAGGGTCTCGGACAAAGTCCAGGAGAGGGAAGGGTGTCGGACAAAGTCCAGGAGAGGGAAGGGTCTCGGACAAAGTCCAGGAGAGGGAAGGGTCTCGGACAAAGTCCAGGAGAGGGAAGGGTCTCGGACAAAGTCCAGGAGAGGGAAAAGTGTCGTGGCCACGACGACAATTTTAATAAATTTTCTTTATGAAATATAGAAAGAAGTAATGTGACGGAAATAAATAAATTACATTATTTTAAGTTCATACAGATGTAAAGAGGAATAGGTTGGTGGGTGGAGGATCATGCAAGTAGATGGAAGGTAAACAAGTGGGATGGGGAGAAAGATAAAGGTAAGTATTTGAGGAAGGAAAAATAAGTACGTGGCAAGTGGGTGATGGAGTAGATTGTCACACATGATCGAAACCTAGCTAAATGTATCACTATGTTAAAAGCAGTATTCTCACATTACTGCAACGATGTTGACACTTGACAGAGTCTATAAGATTATCTGCTGGCTAAACCCTCAAACAGCCCTCGGGTCATACCAGGTTGACGAGAATGTGATGTCGCCTCTGTGGTCATGACCCCTCAATCCAGATCCATATATCCATATAGGCGAGAGAATAATCCTTCACACCCGGAGCTGCATGGATGAGGTCTCGACCCGTGCCTCCAATGGCCTCACTCACTGAGGCTTGGGATGCCCCCCTCACTCCTCATCCCAATGATCATGTTCATAGATTGTTTAGCCTCATGGCACGTGAATGATTGTGATGCTCTTATCATCATACACATGGTATATTCAACGTGGGTCTAATGAGACGTCCACTTTGTTTCTTTTAATGGCTCTAATACCAGTTAAAACTGTAATGATTTGTATTAATTATTGGCATTTAAAGCTTCTAAATATAAATATAAATCAAGACTATACCACACGTAATTATAATCATTACGTGTTATGATGTTATTAAGACTCTCTCAGATAAATAATTTTCTGTATTTCTATGTCCCTTATTGCAATAGTAAATGTACAAACATTTGTGAAGGAAGATTGTGATTTTGAATTTGGATTTCATCCTACAATCAGTCACTTTATATTTTTTCTGTCACTTCTCGGGAGGGCGTCGTCAGCCTCGTCAGGTGTACCCCTCATTGACAGACCACTTCACTCACTGAGCTATGATTGGCTCATCCAAATGAAGCCTATATCTGATTGGATTATTTTTTTTCAAATCAGCCCAATCAACGCTTTGAAAGATTGTCATAAGAGTTCCCAAACATTCTGGGCTCAGTGGCTCTTGTATTTCCCGTTTCCAATACACAATAATATATCAGGGTTTATAACAAAAAAATATGGTTTAAAGAAACTCCCAAAGGGAATATAATGTACGTCTGAGAACCTATTGTGTGAGTGATGAACAGTTGTGTGTGTGATGACCAGTTGTGTGTGTGATGACCAGTGATGTGATTAGACACACAACTGCAATAACAGTTGACGAGGGTTAGAGTATAGAGCGAAGAACGCCAAACTCTGTTTATCTTCCTCTATTCGTCTCTTTGACTTTTCCTTTAAACTTTGTAAGGATTTTTCAAATATAATTTTTGTCATGTTACGTAATTCGAAACACGTGTCTACTCTCTCTCCATTACTACGTATAGCACTCAAGTTCCACTAATGCGGTAAATTCAGCATATTTTTTACGTTTATATGAACTATTCCCCAATTTCTTGTGTAACAATTTATTTTTACTCACTGATTTTTTAACTATCTATTTTTTAACTATTCAACCTTCTGCCTCATCCTCCAATCCATTCTCTCCTCATCCACCTTTCTTCTTCTTAAGGATTGGATTCCAGAAGATCCAAGTGGTTCAGAATCGCTTCTTCACTTCGTTTTCAGATCCTGGTTCATAGACTTCGTTACCATATCCTAGCCCTGTGCTATGCAGACAATATGGATGAATAGTGAAGCTATTATGGCCTCAGTATTTCTCCCCAATGATTTACCTCCTCCACTCTGGTGATGCCTGCAGGTGATGGAGCCGCTGACTAACCGTGTAGTAGCCAACGTCACCGCACTCACTCCGGAGTTCAGCATCGGGGGTCTGGCGGCCGGCTTGGACTACTCCGTTAAAGTCTTCTCCTACAACAGTAAGGGTTCCTCGCCACCTTACCTACTCGACGGCTTCTCGCTCAAAGTCGCTGAGAACCGCATGGGTGAGTATTACATCTTATTTTAAAACATTATTAGATGAAGCACATGATAAGTCATCGATCCAAAATCAGTTAAGGCGCATTGAATTGTATTTTTTTCTGCGTTTGGGTATACTATGATGTTATGTATTTGCCGATCATTTATTAGTGAAAAACATATCTTACACAAATTGATTTTGATAACTGGGAGAGGATAAGGAAATCGTAATTTTGGCTTATTACAGATAGTGAAAATTTCTCCTTACGCGAAATAAACATTATAGGAAACATCGTTTTCACAGTGTAGGGACGAGTGATTTTTCTAATGCCTCTTGGGTTCCAGTCACTGAGCCCGAAAATTGGGAAAATACTTGAGCCTTAACATGAGATAAATCCTTCAGACCCAACATGGGGGTTTCGTGTCTACTCTTCTCAATCTGGATCTTACCTGGTGGGGGTTCTGGGAGTTGTTCAACTCACCAAGCCCCCCGGCCTTAAGCAAGGCTTAACTAATGAGAGCTTGGTCCAACAGACTGTTGCTGCACTAGCCCGCATGCCACATATCAACTATAACCCTGTTTGTCAGGCACTTCTTTGTCGGCAACTGTCTATTTTCTTCTTGAAAACTTCACTTTCATTCCGGCAATATTTCTTATATTTGAATGAAGGATATTGAACAACCGTGGACCTCTCATGTTCATACAGTGTTCTCTGATTGTGGAACCTCGGCTCTTCCCTGGCTCTATTCTGCATGTTCTGCAATATCGCTCGCTAAAGTATGTTGTTATTATACTGTGCAAAATTTTGGACTCAGCCTTCCAATATTTTCCCTGTATATATTATGTGATGCCTCTCTCGTCTCCTTTCCAGGGAGTACATTTTGAGAGCTTTGAGACGGTCCCAACAGTTTAGGTGCCGTACCGCGTCCATGCGTGCTGTATATATGTTCTCTGTATACCCTCTGTTTTAACAATCTGAATAGTATGAGCATTATGATGGATTCTCTGGATTTGAATGTTTTCATATTCCATCTTATCATTTTTCAAGTCGACACTATATTTCCCTGGTTATTGTACGTAAATGTTTATCCGTAAAACAACATTATTTCCAGATCCTTTTCACATTGCTTTCCCACTATGGATAGATCTGAAGGCGTCTTGTACTTAATATTTCGTTAAGGGTTTACTTTTATCCATATTTAATTACCTGGAATTTATCACTGTTAAACATTATTTACGTTGACCACCAGAAAACTTTATTTATATCTGTCGGTATGTTTTCAGTGTCTTATAAACATTTTGATTTTGATTTTTGTGTCATCTGCAAAAGTTGACTGGCTGCTGTGATTTTTATCTGTATCTGATATGAGAATATGAAAAGGCAGTGGTACACGGCCTGTGTCCTGAGGTACAGAGCTCTTCACTCTGCTTGAACTTGATTTTGAACTCTTGGCTTCTGTTTGTTAGGAAACTGAATATCCATCGCCCTACTTTATCTGTTATTCCTATAGATCTCAAGTTATGTGTTATCACTTCGTAACCACATATATCAAATGCCTTTGCAAAGTCACTGTACATCACACCTGTTTTATGTTGTTGTTCTTGTACAACATTTTGATTTTGTCTTAGTGGTCGAGAAGCTGCGAAAGTCATGATCTTCCCGCTCTAAATCCATGTTGACCTGGGTTGCAGAAGTCATTGTTCTCCATAAAACTGGAGATCTGATTCCTGATCACTCTTTCCAACTTTTGATTACGTGTGATGTTTGGGCGACTGGTCTATAACTTTTGGACAATGCTTTACTCTCTCCCTTGTGTAGGGGAGCTATATCTGCTGATTTAAGCACTTCTGATATCTCCCCTGTGTCCAAGATTTTTCTCAACACTTCACTGAACGCTCGTGCAACTGGCCCTTTACATTTCTTTATAAATATATAGAATTCCATGAGTCTGGACCAGCGGCTGAGAGCAAAATCTGCAATGTTTGTGTTTAAGTCAGTTATATTATCAGTTATCTTGTCAGTTATGCTGTTCGGGGTAAATCCTAGAGCCCTTACTTGGGGTAAATCCTTGAGTCCCAACACTGGGTAAATCTTTGAGCCCCAGCATTTTGGAAATCTTGGAGTCCAAAATTTTGGAAATTCCTTGAGCCCCTAACATGAGGTTATTGTTTGAGCACCAACACGAGGGAGAATCTTGCGTTCCCTCAACATTTTAATTAATTCTGGTGATTGCTGGTCGCTGCTGACATCTGGCATATAATTTTCTTTTAATTAGTAATTTTTTTCTGTTCGTTCTTACTAATTACGTATATTGTAAATAAAGAACCAAGATAAATAAAATAAACTTTTTAATATATTTGTAGACTTGACTTTACTGTTATTGATAATCAAGAGGAATTAATAGTGTTAACTTACGGAAATAGTGAAGGTCATAGTAACATATAATAAAAACACACAGTGTATTTATGAGTATATGAAAAGAATTTATTTATACGAAGTCCTTCGCACTCTCGAGAGTGCATTACTAAGGTCTTTGTAAATGGTTTGAACAGGACTTGCACCTCAACGTCCTGTTCAAACCATATACACAGACCTTGATAATGCACAGGAGAGTGCATTATCAATGTCTGAGTGCATTATCATTATAACTGAGAAGAACTTTTACATCTTCGACAGCTTTACCCTCAACATATAACGAATTATTAATATGATTGCTGAGTGAAATCGAAATGTAATTCTGAATATTTGATGTATCTGCGATCTCCTGTAAATATCGAATACATCTTCAAGAAAATATATCCAAGAAGTGAATATATCCATTCACGTCACAAAAGTATACATGAAAAGCAGTGAGACCAACACAGGAACTTCTGAAACCAGTCTCCCTCTCAGCCATGACGAGTCTTATTTGAGAAAGAATATCTTGTGATGATCAATCAAATGTAACAGGAAAAGCTGTGAGCCACAACTAATTGGGCCTTAGCTTGCAATTCGATTAGATTAGAGACGAACTGGAAGAACTAGTTCCTGGAACGATATCTTCGAGTAGTGATGATACACACTATAGAGTGTAAGAGAAGATGCATGACACCGATGTTTAATACTTGATCAGTAGTCAGATCCCGATGATACTTGACACATACGTTAATGGGTAAGCAAAATGATAACAGATATAATGGTTGATCTATGAGTATTACAGTCAAACTACTTGGGCTGGGCGGTAGAGCGACGGTCTCGCTTCATGCAGGTCGGCGTTCAATCCCTGACCGTTCAAGTGGTTGGACACTATTCCTTTCCTCCCCGTCCCATCCTTATCCTGATCCCTTCCCAGTGCTATATAGTCGTCAAGGTTTGGCGCTTTCCTGACAATTCCCTTCCCTTCTATGAGTATTACTGAACGTGATGTAGACAGCTTTAAAATGTGTCGAGAGCTGCTCCAGCGTGTACTATAAACATCTCCATGGTGTCATCTGTGTGAGCACCATGTGGGTGCTCGTAGACTCACAGGGTGCTACGAGAAGATGTAGAGAATACAGTGGGTGTAGATTATATGTGTAGATTATATATAGGGGACCCACTCAAGGAAGCTCCTAACAAAGTGCAGACGTCTGTAATTTATAAGTCTGTCGTCTGTAATATTATAAGACGTCTGTAATATTACAGACGTCTGTAATATTATAAGTGCAGACGTCTGTAATTTATAAATAGTATTTATAAGCTGGAAAAGCAATACAGTGTAGGAATATCTTGGAACAACGAAACGGTTTTTATAATAGAGAGAATTTAGGGTGTTGAATGAGTGTATAGTAAAGTAACAAATGGTGTATAAATGTGTTGGAATAAGCCCGTTGGCCGCTCCCTGAATATAGCCACACATTTCCATCTCTCTAAGCCTGGCCAGCACCAAAACACACTGTCTGCGATGCAAAATCCAGTTGAGGGCATCCCGTATATCGTCGTCCCTCGAGGCCACTCTGGAGTCCTTGGAGATGTGTCCCAACGGCAGCAACCAGACAGCTACATGTGTTCCACCATTCCCTGAGCCATTACCCGGCGCCCTTGGGAGATACGTCCAGTTTCTTGGAGATTTTCAGTCACCTACACCGCCTCCTAGCTCCACTATTTTTATCTGGCTAATCTATTTTGTATCCCTCATATATTCTTGTCTCTTATCCTTCTTCAATTTTCGCAAATATATATATTTCTCGTTCCTATCTACACCGGCTATATTCCTATTACATCATAATCAACTCAACCAATTGGATTGGTTAAGAGAGTACAGTAGGAGTTCCCATCATCGTCATGTTACAGTGAGAAATATAGGAGAGGACAGGAGTAGTTCCCATCAACGAGTGTGTTGCTTCTCTGTGACTCTGTCTCATTTACTTTTGTCCAATGATTTTGTTTAAAAAAAAATACAGATTAAGAATATCGTTTCAACTTATAAAATTACGTACTATTATTACCAACCTTGTCCCCATTTTGATCTCACCCCCACCCTGATTTAACTCCTCCACCCTAATCTCACTCTCCCTCCCTGATCCCACTCCCCACTCTGCCCTCACATCTCTAGAAGCCTCTCCTCACTACCTCTCACTCCCCCCAACTTTCTCCTCACCACCACTCTCTTCATACCATCATACTACCCACTCTTTTTTTTCACCCCTCACCCCCCCCCAACTACTTAAGCTGGACGGTATAAGAGCGACGGTCTCGCTTCATGCAGGTCGGCGTTCAATCCCCGACTGTCCAAGTGGTTGGGTACCAATTCTTTCCCCCATCCCATCACAAATACTTATCCTGACCCCTTCCCAATGCTATATAATCCTAATGGCTTGGCGCTTTTCCTCTGATAATTTCCTTCCTTCCTTTCACCCCCCCCCCCTTCTTAATTTCCCCAACATTCATCTCATTCCCCTACATACCTCCCCTCCCTTCCTGAATCATCAAATCTCCCCCACCCTTGACCTGCTTGACTCAATTTTTCATGTATCACTAATTACGTTTTTGCTACCTGATCGCACGACATGCTACCTGACCCCACAAAAGGCTACCTGCATATTGAAGGGTATCAAGAATAGCGGAAACCATTCACTGGCTGATAGATGAAAGAACAGGGCATTGAACTGAAGCTCAGACATTAAGTCACGAACAGGCAAGGACAAACACACACGTAAAGACACGTGTGTGTGTGTTTGTCCAGGCCAGGACAAACACACATGTCAAGGGTTTGAATTTTAAACCATGACAAATTTTGCTTATAAAAATAATATAGTTTCCTACACATTTTGTAATATTTGACAACAAATGACAATTTATGTCATTTCAAGCAACCTTCAAAATTTGTTGGAAAAAAACTTTTCTTGATCTACAAGACATTTTCTCCTTAGTTGTCAGTTTTTTCTTCTTTTCCTTTGGCTGTGTCCGCACCAGGCGGCGGTTGGGATCAATCATGTAAGGCTGGCAGCTGGAGACCTAACCTGAGGCAAAATTGGAGCATATTCTCAAAGTGTCTAGCTGACCTGTACATCATTTTCATCTCTATTTTTGCGTTCAGAGGCGAGAGCAGAAGGAATGTTTTCACCTTTACTGTCTCAGGCTCAGGTCATCCTATCTTCCTTCAGGTCTCAGGGACATAACGTAACAACTTAATACTTAACACATATTTTAGATGACCTATCGGTCCAAATAAGACAGATATTATATATATATATATATATATATATATATATATATATATATATATATATATATATATATATATATATATATATTATATAGAAGGGAGTACCACCTCTAGCTGGAAGAAGGGGGACCCGTAGCCTCGGAGGAAACCACGCATAACGCATTAGAGGGAATGTTTAGATTCCCTCCAATACAGTTTCTGTGTGCTTTTCTCCTACCACCCCCTTCCTTTTTTATTTTTTGTGCTTTATTATGTATTTGATTGTTACAAGATATACATGGGTTGATACAAAAATAATAATACAAAAAGGTGCTTAAAGGTTATGGATCTCTTGAAAAACACGACAATGAAAGTACAATATATATATATATATATATATATATATATATATATATATATATATATATATATATATATATATATCAATTTATATATATATCAATTTATATATAGTAATTTGATGGAGAAAATAGGTCGTGAATTAATATATTGCATAGATTTCTTCTAAGAGCTAGTAGCTCGATCCTGCAGGGACGAAATAGAAAATACACACACACACACACACACACACACACACACACACACACACACACACACACGCACACGCACACATACAAACACACATACACACACACATGATCAAAAGTGATAGGAAGCTGATGTGAGAGAAGAACGTTGTTTATTTATTCAGAATCATGGCAGCAAGAAAAGCCGAACGAGATGTGACTGATTGCTGTCGAATTGCTTCTTATTAGTGCGCCACACAGAGTACACGTAAGCCGGCCATTCATTTCAAATTCCGTATTACAAATGTTCCACAATTTCACCATTTGTAATGCACAGTCATACTGAGTAACATTGATAATTAAAAATATATATAAATCTGGGGCCCCTCATACAACGAGATGAAATAAACCACAGAATTGGTTCCTGCCAGACATATCTTAACTATGACACTGTAGCACGACTCGCTGTAAAAATCACACGATGCCCCTTTATGTTTCAAAGATAGAGACTATTCCATCTCTATCCCATCCACTCCTACATCTTCCCTTACTGCCGACATCACCTACCTCCAGACCCAAGTACACTAAACTTCCTGCATTAACTCTCCGAGACAAAGAGCTCCAACCCACACTTTCCTAGAACCACTTACCTTCCGTCTCTGAATGTGCTTTCCCCTGTGACCTTCACCAAGTTTCAACACAACTCTCAATTTCTATATCCGTATTTCCTCAAGGTCACACTACCAAAGGGGTTCTCTTCAGGCCCCAGAACCGCCCATCTACCCAATCTCCATAATGCGTGATATCTTTTTATTATAACGTCCACTACTACATTCTTAGAGGGTGGAGACGGCAATGGAAGGAGACTATGCCAAAAAGGAGACCACTAAAATTCATAACTGCTGATATATACAAGCAGGGAAGGACTCTCAATGGCAAATCTCTCTAAAAAATGAAGAACTGCATGCCTGAAAATTGCAAGGAAACAGAAACAGCTCATATTTCCTACAGTACTTCCGAAGAGAGATTTGTGGATCCACAGAGGGTTCTGAAGAATGCCTGCAATCAGAACGAATATGCAATAGTGCACTGCCAGGATACACAGAGCACAGAAGAAAACCACAACTCTTATAAGAGAGTGGAATGAGTTAGCCAACCTGTCCTCTTAAAATTAACGTCGCTTTTGGCCGTTTACTCGTATAGCCAAAAGTGGACGTATTATGAAAATGAAAAAAAATGAAAACACATTTGATATTTTTTTCAACAACAGTTAGTTAAGGGTCCTCTGGTAGGTTAGGTGGACCTGAAATTCTCATAAAGTTTCAAAACGTTATGAAAAACGTTAATTGAAAGTTTCCTCTCCTAACCTTTCCGAGTAAGCCGGACGACTCAACCAGAAAACGAGACAGTAAGTCACTTTCGTGAGCCGATTTCATTGAAAATTACGTCCACTTTTGGCTATAGTGCGCATACGAGCCAAAAGCGACGTTATTTTTAAGAGGACGGGTTGATGGGAGAGCAGGACGAAAAGCAAATGAATAATAAAACCCAAAACTTATGCACAACCATTTCAAAAGAAATTTGATGGTGAACGAAATAGATAATCCAATTAACGATTCATCCAGGTCCCCAATTACTGCAGAATGGAAAAAGGCCGAACAATTATAGATTGGCACCCAATTGATCCTCCCTACCCGGGGCTCGAACCTGGTGGAAATCTCTCGCGAGGCATAGGGTGAGTATGCTACCAGCGCGCTATAGGAGCTGTGTTATCATATCACAACTCCTGAGGACTTCGAAGTATTAACATATGTCATCAAGAAAGCATTAATTGTTTTCGTAATTTAACTATAGTTAAAGCATCTTCTCGCGTTTCGCGGAACATTGAATAATTACGAGGTTAATAGGAATTAATTATACTCGTAATAAATTCGAGGATAATAATGTGTACGGTTCAATGTGCACATTGCAATTATTCGTGCAACGAATAATTACATTCTTTGAACGTTGATGCACGCATTAAAATAGTAACATTGCCGGACTAGATGTGTCCGTTGACCAATATTATATGTTGTATCAGACTCTGGAGGAGGACCTGGCAAGGGGGCGTCGCCCCTGTTGGCGCTCTTCATAGGTGTGTTGGCTGCCTTCGTGCTGACCCTCACCGTCATCATCGTCGCCACCAAGCTGAGGTGTCGGGCCAGAGCCACTGCCAGAGACGGCGACGACGGAGCGGGAGGCAGAAGCGACGACAGCGAAGACGACGAGGGACGAGGGGTGGCCTCCAGGCAGGGTGGAGTTGGGGGCGCCAGGAGAAGCTCCGTCGAGGTGAAACTCATGTCGGTGGTGAGGCCGGACGAGGAGGACATGGCCGACGAGTCCCTCAAGCAGCAGCAACAGCAGCAGCAGCAGCAGCATCAGCTGGGACTCATCACCCTCCAGGACACAGGTCAGCTGATGTTATCAACCTCTCCTCTCAAATAATGACGTAAAATCTTACGTTTCTCGAATAATTTTACGTTTTATATTCAGGGGTCTCGGTTAGGTTAGATTCGAGCAATTTAGTACATCAATTCAAAGACGTTGTGGCAGCTCGGGAGAACGGGCGGGATTTCCTGTGCTGTGAGGGACTGTTTCGTAATAATTTTTAAGGCATCAGGAGCACTTGTGACTCTTCCTGCAGGATCGCCCCGGGACTACACCTGCCTGGAGTCCAAGCCTACCTCCGAGTCCCTCTACAGCTCTTGTACCAGTAACCGGGTGAGTGTGTGCTCAGTACTTGGCGATGCCGCAAGGTGCACGGTACTCTGTGATGTCTGAATGTGTACGGTTCTCTGTCATGTCTGAATGTGCACGGTCCTCTGTCATGTCTCAATGTGCACGGTCCTCTGTGATGTCTCAATGTGCACGGTACTTGGTGACGCCTTAGTGCTTGGCTGTGAGCCGTGCTTATTGTAACTTTCTATTTGAATGTATTTTATGCCCTCGTCATTCCTTTTTATATGTTTTCTGGTTACGTATATGTTCCAAATTTTTTCTCTTAGCATCCATTAGGAAAATGACACGAAAAATCCGAACGTTTTCGTGTTTCATCACATTATCAATGACGTACAACGCCTCTATTTCATTAATAATGTGAAGAAACATGAAACAGTTCGGAATTTCCGTTTCATTTTCCTGGTGAACACTTAGGCCTAACCGAATCACGTGTTTTTGTGATTATTCTGACATCTCTTAGTGTGTTGATTATCAAATATCAATTAAATTCATATACCACGTAAGGCTTAGAGTTAATTAGGACAAACATTACAGTGACTTATAGATGTTAGGGGATGATGATCATATTAAACAATAAATTTGTTCCTAAAAAGGCATTTAGGTATCAACACTGTTTCAACATCACAAGGATGCTTGATTATACTGCTACACTTCATGTATATTTCAGAAGAATACAATTGGCGATTTACAAATTTCCACAGAGAATTTGGTAGATGAAGGGTGTAAAAGAAAGCCTTGATAACACCATAAGACATCCACCGTTTTCCTTACAGAAAACTGCCTTAAAGTTTAATACTATTAACTTTAGTATTATGCATTACAGTGCGGGATGGGGTACTCAACGGAGTCTGCTATGCTACTGTCTTCCTCACCTTCGTCCTGCAGCGCTACGGCGGGTGTCCTGGGAGGCCTTCCTTGCAGTAGTGCCGCTGTTGGTCCTGCTAGCGGGCCTGGTGTAGGAGCAGCAGGACCTGCAGGAATGATGGGCATGATGTACGGCTCTTTAGGGCGCTCCTTGGGTCAGACTTGGGGCCAGTACAGCACACTGACTCGACCTCCTCCCCCAGCCCACGACCCGGGCGTGGAGACTAGGTTTCACACGCTCTCAACCACCTGCACCCGACGCCCCAGCGAGAGCTTCGTGTGATGGTGGCCAAGATGTCTATACACGTGACAATTGCCTCTATGACTTATGCGTCGCGTTTGTGACTTGTGCCTCTCAGCGTCTATGACTTTGTGATCACATATGTACAGTGAGGTTGATGACTCTCGGTCGAGAGATATGAGATGAACGTCTATTTTGTACAAATTATGTGAAATCTTCACAAAATTATAATAATTGTGTATCGCAGCATTCAACACAAGTGACTCACAACAGACTGCTGTATGAATTAGATCTCAAATCTAAGTAAAGAGCCTGTTTTTGTTATTATATCTTCGCCAGAGATCCATTATTTTGTACCTAATATTTCATTTTTGAATTCTATGTCCCAAATTTTATTATGTCAAAATTCAGTTAAAATGTATTATTATTCCCCTTATCCCCTGTCACCCCCAACCCGGGACCCAAGGACAAATATTAACTTACGATATGTTTGTCATTAATTTTTTTGACTTCGAAGAGAAATTTATTAGTCCAAATACCGAGGCTTGAACAACTGAACACTAAATAAACATTTGAGAGCGCGACGACGTCTGTCCAGGCCTCCAGAGTGTGAGGAGGGCATAAGGAATGATTAAATGAAAATAAAAGACAGTGCTTTTTCACACTAATATTTCTGTTAAAAAAGGAATTTCTATGAAAGGTCCCCAGGAAAATTGAAGTTAAAAAATAAGACAATTTTTAATATATATTACTACCCACGGTGCTACTCACGAATCTCTAGTTTTCACACTAGACTCAAGAATTATCAAAAAGTCAAATTAATAAAGGTATTAAATATGGTTCAGTACTGACCTAAACATTTGAGGCAAAGAAGATCTTCTGAGGAGATCTTATCTTAAGCTTACTCCCTAAAAAAGTAATTCCCTGAATCTTCTTTACGTTTTTAAATAATCATGACCATTGCATCTTTCTTAAAAGAGTTTTACCCTCACATAAGCAGAATCAGAATGATTTTCAAAGCAGGTGGGCCATTTGCTCTCCAAAATATCTACAACAGCCCAGGTTATATGTACATTACGATGAAGGTGTTATGTGTTTGTTTTGAAGAGATTTATTAGAGAAGATTAAACGGGGAAAAAATATCCAAGCAATTATGTCACGATAGACGTATTGTGAAAATGCAACACGAGACAAAAGGATTGTTGGAGTTGACGTATATTTCAGTGTGCGTGTAGTTAAGGTAGTAGCACCTGTTGGGCACTAATCCACAGGTAAAGTTGGTTCAGTGTATTGAGAAGTAAAGTCACCGTAGATATTCACTTCAGTGCGTGCTTCCTGTTACATTTACCCTTAAGGTAGAGACGCACAAGGGTCAAATCTGACGCACAAGTTTGTGAATAGTATGTATCATTACTTGCTGTACGACTATACAATAATTTTACAAGAAATATAGTTATAAAGAAATAATTTTCGTATTTTTCGCTACGATTCATTACGCTTGTTGTAGTTACGACTAGAATTGTTTACGCTGACCATAACTCTCCACTTGGAAGGTAACGACGTTGACCTGACCTCGGGGCACGATTGAACATTATTTTGTTCGGTTGTGTTCATATCACTATGTTAAGGATTCATTATTTTACATTTTGGAATTAGCATACATACGACGAAATCAACTCTGTGATGAAGAATTGTTATTTATCGAAACCTATAACACATAGAGAACAATGTGAGAACAAATTTCTTCACAACCTCAGTTGCACTTTTTGGTTCATTTTCATTTGTTCGTTGGGATAATTAACAAGGTCGTTGCATGAAACAATTCACACTTTTTTAGATACATTTCATGAGTACAACAGGAACGATGTTACAGATGTTCTCCGGTACGCGGATGTATTTGTAGTTGTGAATTCAGTTGTCACATTAGATCACCATACACTGTTATTCACTAACACACACAGTCATACACTTCCCTGCCTATTTCAACCCATCTGTCAACATGCACTTCCATACACAGCAATAGAGTGCCATACCCACCCCAACGTAACATTTTGCCTTACACCACCATAAACTACTAAATACCTCAAGGCACCACAATACAAAAACACCAGATTAAATTATAAAACATCTCTATGTAACACCACATAAAACATGCAATATCATACAATACACTGTTTTGTAAACCTAAACATCCTATATACTATCTTTAAACATTGCCCATCTCCTGCTTTTTCCTTTCTTCTCGCACCCTTCCCCTTCCCTCTCTCTCTCTCTCTCTCAAGTTCAAGTTCAATTATGTTTATTGAGACAAGAAAGAAATACATCTCAAAGGGATAGAGTAGCTTAGGATATTTCTATCCCCCTACTCTCTCTAGTCGCTGAAAAATGTATAAATCTAGGGCCTCGACCAGCCGTCTTTCGCGAATTAAGTGAGGCGGAGACAGGGTTGGTATTGTTCGCGATCCCCTCTTAATAGGACGAATTGGACTGACTCCGACCAGCCTATATCCGCTCCGTTCCCCAGAACAATCACCTTGCAAAGTTGGCTGAACCTAGCCCCAAGCATCTTGCTTCACTCCAAAACAAACGGATATTCTCTTACAGGTATAGATTACATCATACAGTGTCCCTCTATACACCATTTTAATACACTATTCATCAGCGTATACATCTAAACACCACCATATGAAACAGTACACTGTGCCATGTATTGCTATGCACCATTACACTTTCATGTGCATCTTTCCATACACATTTGTAAACAAAATGTACACCACGTAACTCAAAATTCCATTATATATCATCATACACCAAATTATACACCATTTTACACCACAACACTATTGTATACACTATCATTCCTAATTTCTATATTTTAGTCATCCGATAATCGGTGCATATTAGCTTCAAATATTGATAGGGAGTACAACCAACATATGTAAATAATCCCACTCTCGTTTTTAGAGTATAAATCAAGTTTATAAATGCTTATTTACAATTTACACATTATATATAGATATATAATGCGGAATTACAGTGATGTAAAAGACGTTTCAGAGTAAAATTTTGACCATTTTTATTTAATAGTGAGAATTGAAATTGATCCTTAAGGTTCCTTTTTCGTTGAGTAATGATGAAGTTTATTACTTTCTTCCTCCCTGCTCTTTTTAGTGGGGAAAGCATAAATATAAATTAAATAGAACTGTAAGTCATAGTTATATTCAACAGCCTTTGGCCTCAAGGGACGTGTCTAGGTGATATTTAAAAAGTTATAGCAACAAAAGTCAGGCGTCTTAAGGGGAATTAACACAAAAGCCGCTGCTCAGATTTAAAGTGCATTCTGGTCACAGTTACCCAATTAGTTATCACAGTTGCTTGATAAGTTGGCACAGTTAACTGATGAGCTGTCACAGTTGCCTGATAAGCTGGCACAGTTGACTGATAAGCTGTGACTGTTGCTTATGAAGTTGTCAAGGTTACCTGAGTTGTCACAGTTGCCTGAGACGTTGTCACACTTGACTGAGACATAGTCACAGTTGACTGAGACGTTGTCACAGTTGACTGAGACGTTGTCACAGTTGCCTGAGTCGTTGTCACAGTTTACTGAGACGTTGTCACAGTTGCCTGAGACGTTGTCACAGTTGACTGAGACGTTGTCACAGTTGCCTGAGACATAGTCACAGTTGACTGAGACGTTGTCACAGTTGCCTATAAAGTTGTCATCGTGGCCGGAGAAGTTGCCACAGTTGTCCAAAAAGCTGCCACAGTGCCGAGGCACTATCACTCTTGCCCTCTGTAACATTCACAGTTAGAACAGTCTGAAGTCTCTGTTACGCTCCAGTCACTCAATATGACTAAAGTCATTGTAACAACTTTTGTTATAACTATGTGTCCCAAGTCACAGTGGCAAAGTTACTTGGTCACTGTATGTGTCCTAGGTTGAATGTGTCCTTCCGTTGTTCGCCTCCTGAGGCCAGATTCACGAAGCAGTTACGCAAGCACTTACGAACGTGTACACATTTCCTCAATCTTTGACGGCTTTGGTTACATTTATTAAACAATTTACAAGCATGAAAACTTCCCAATACACTGTTGTTATTGTTATAAACAGCCTCCTGGTGCTCCGGAGCTCATTAACTGTTCAATAATTGTACACCAAGCCGCTAAAGAGTGAGAAAAGATTGACAGGTTCGTAAGTGCTTGCGTAACTGCTTCGTGAAACTGGCGCCTAGTAGTTGTGCCTAGCGATCTATTCGTGTGATAGCAACTCCTCTGATGATAACAACGAATCTCGCTATCAACCATCAGCGTGACAGCAACGATAACTACATGTCTCAAGATCTTTTGATAATATGAACTTATGGCAATACCTCGTATATAAAATTATTGACATTGTTAAACAAATTTTAATATTGGCTACAATTCACTTTTTTGAGGATATATATTAAATTAAACACAAGTAGTAATACATGATAATGCTATCGAAAACTTCCTAAGTAGTCGAAGTTTGAGATGGAAAAAAGGAGCATTATGCAAACAACAAATTACACACAATGTATATATTTATATATATATATATATATATATATATATATATATATATATATATATATATATATATATATATATATATATATATATATATATATATATATATATATATATATATATATATATATATATATATATATATACGTACATTGGTTTGTGTTTTAAATCTGGGCAGTAAAGTAAATAGTATGTACATTATATATAAATATTGTATTATATATATATATATATATATATATATATATATATATATATATATATATATATATATATATATATATACGTACATTGGTTTGTGTTTTAAATCTGGGCAGTAAAGTAAATAGTATGTACATTATATATAAATATTGTATTATATATATATATATATATATATATATATATATATATATATATATATATATATATATATATATATATATTATAATATATATTCATATATATAGTATAATATATATTCCTATATATATTATATATAACATAGCCTCTGGTGCCTCTTCATTCATGACTTCATGGTTTTATATGGTGTTGAAGGAGGGGGACACGCGGCCCACCATCATCACTACCTTGTCTTGGTCGACGTGCGTGTCACTCACTGTTTGTTGACATCATACTAAACATTGTAAATTGGGGTGATTTTGTAAATTAAATGTTGTCTAAGATAATTTGTTTTTCTTCGTCCTATGTTCAAACTTCTGAAACTCGCTTGTGTGATGAAAAAAATGACAGAGCTTAGTTATAAAGGCCATTGATTGTAGAATTTCGATGATAAGTTTTTTTTGGGGGGCGAGTTATTTCATAACTAAAATATAAAGCAAATTTCACCAATAATCCCGTTAAAAAATTATATTATTATATAAATAATA